CCGCCGGTCAGGCGTGCGGACAGTGCCGGTCCTGTCACGCTCCGCGGGGTCGCGGTGCTACCCACAGTAACCCGGGGGGTGTGTTTAGCACCTGTGCTGACCAGCCCACCACCCCCCTGGCACGAGGGGAAGCGTTTTAAGACATTTCCCACATCCTGGGCTGCAGACAAGGCGTCAGCGTTCCCCCTGGCTCCGTAAGTCGGGTGACAGCCAGGCTCCCAGGCCAAAACGCTGGGACTAAACCTCCGCGTTCCTTACGCCTGCAGCCGCTGCTTGTGTTTCCTAAACTAGAAAATTAACTGGGGTTTCTGGGTTTAGAAGACAGCTGCACGAGGTATGTACCGGGACACGTCACAGTACTGAGAAGCGGGGGTTAAGCTGGCCCCCAGCCCACGGGAAGTTCACTGCCCCTCCAGGCAGAGGAAGGAATTGAGCAGCAGGAGCAGCGTAGGCGCTGAAGGGTCGCGGAGGCAAACACATCCTCGGATGCTGCGGGGAGTTATGGGAGCAGGGCAGGAAATTTAAGGCAGACATTAGTAACCTAGCGATGCCGGGGCAGGCCAGCGAGGTTTTATTCTTCGTTTCAGTGGCTAAATCTTCTAACCAGGGCCGAGCACAACTCGCCTGGGCCTACGTTTAGTACTGCCAGATTCAGCACAGTCACGCGGTACCTTTCCGCCTGATGCTCTGCAGCGCCGCGCAGCCGATGCGGCTTTTGCCAGAGGAAGCGATCTGGCACGGGTGTTTCTGTGGCCACCCGCTCACACGGCACTCACGCCGAAGCTTCCTTAAGCCTCTGGCTGGGAAACTGCACCTTACAGACACGACCCTTTTCAGCAGCAGGGCAGCAGCTAACGCGGAACAAGAAAGCACGGAGCAGAACCTTCCCACGTGAGAAAGTGCCGGTAAACCCATCAGTTTCTCTGCAGCATCCGATGTTAATGCGGAAGCCGAGAAGCTCAACCGGCGGGAGGGCCTGTAGCCAGGCAATTCCCCCAGGTTCCAGTTTTTTCAGCTGGGATTACCACCCACATCAGCCCGTTCCCTGGTCCAGCGGCAGGGCGACAGACCAGCAGACGGGAACGGGAGGCTACAGCTGTTCCGCGTACCTGGATCAGCCGTTCTGCATTTTCAGGAATCTCACGACAACTCGTTGTCTTATGTGCATCCAATTAACAGCCACACGCCCATCACGGCTTCTGGACTGCAGGATTCTGCTTGCACACAAGCAATTTTAGGTTCGACGTGGAACGATGTCTAAAAGCGTGACTTTTAGACAGTCATTGCAAATTAGAGGATATTCCTGCAGACTTTCAGGATTCCTAGGGATAACTATGCGACAGAGCGGGAAGCTCTAGGCCACAGCCCAACTCCCGGTCCACTCCCAGAGCACTGCATGGCTTGCTGGAGTACTCACATGGGATCCATAGCAGAACAGGTCCATGCCCAGTTCAAATCCCATGCCATAGTCACATTCGTCATTGGCAAACTGGACAAAGGTGAGCATTTCCTGAAGAGGGGCAAAGGCCTTCAGCCTCTCCTCATCGGTAGGAGCATCCACAATGGCCTTGCAAATTTTTTTAAGATTAGCTGCAGAAAACCAGAAGCAGAAATGTTTAGATGTTCAAGTAAACCTCGCATCGCGCAGGAGTCGCCTGTGGCACAACCACACCCGTGTTCCACGCTTGCACGAAGCCTTGAGTGGGCACACCCTGAGCTGATGGTGGAAAAAGCTTCCCTCTTTCCTTCGCCGCTCATTCCTGCCCCGCGCCCACCCCTCCCTGTTCCCCGCACAGAGACAAGCATTTACGCCGTGGACTCGCATCAAAGAACAGATTGTGGTCGGCACGACAGCGGGAGAAGCTGGGGTGGGGGGTAAGAAATAAACCCACAAATCCCCGAACGTAGATCAGGGGTTTGGATCTACCTCCTCATCTTTGGTATCGGCGCAGTCGTGCCGATCCCCGACACTACTTCAGGAATTATTCCGTCCGATTTAGCATGTGTCATTGACTCTTATCTGGTTTATATAAAGAAAATACATTGAGCTCGAGGGCGACGGTTAAGGCTTCTGCCTTTTCATACTCTTCAGGCAGGAACCAGCAACGCGGCCTGGTTTTTGCAGAGCAGCTGTGTGACTGAAGGCTGTTTACGTACGTAAAACAGAAGAACATAGCGAACAAGGTATTTACCATTTGTTTCAGGAAGTTCTCTGTATCCGACGTCATTTTTGTCTACAGGAACGACCAGGCCGGCCCCGTGAAACGCTTTCGTCACCACCTAAGTGAAGAGAGCGGAAACGGAACATCGCGCTGTGAAGTCAATGCCACGACACAAAACCATTCACCTCCCTGAACAGCATTAACGCCTGACTGCTGGGGGTCAGACCCAACGCCGTGTCCAGGCTCCAACACAGCAATGTAGGTTCAGATTACAGAGCGGGTACTTTCAAGTACTCAAGTTTAAAATCACCAAAAACGCCGTTGCGGTCAGGCTCTGAAATCTAAGAATCCTTGCGGTCACTGGTGTCAGGCTTTACTGCAATTTTTTAGTCGCCTCCTACCGCACTTATTCCTGAGAGGCGTGCAAAAAAGCCCTCTGAGACTGATCCATATCATCCCTAACGGTCCCGTTTCTGATGATCCAACCCGCCTGCTTACAGGAATCTTCACTCTGAAGCAATTTTCGCTGTGCTCCCCGTTTGCTTTGATTTTCAGAGTATTTCCCTTAATTGGCTTTTCTCTTCAAGTGGATGCCAAGCTACGGTTTACAGGAGTAAAGCGTTTTGATTTGATCCCACTGTTTGGAACACACTTGTATTAATCTTACCGCTCCTGAAGTTTTAGACAGAGAGCTGATTAGCTCTGGAAATTCAAATTGCATTTACTGACTAGAAGGAGGATAAATTAAAAGGAAACAACACCCCATTAAAAGCAAGAGGCGAGGCAATGAAAGAAGTCGAACAGAACTCTGCCCTCCCCCGCGGGTGAGGAAAAGCCGTACTTTTTTATCTCTCTGTTTCATCTTCAGGGTTTTCTGTTCCAGAGAATATCCCAGTTCTTTTGCCATTTTTGTTAGCTTTTCATCAATGTCTTTCAAAACAGCATTTTTCTTTTTATCGCTCGCTTCCTTCAGTTTTTTTGACAAAAATAATCTGCGAACAGAAGAAACATGGCTTAAAAGAGCTCAGCAGAAAACAAACCCAATAGCCTCCTAACCACTCAACCCCCAACTCCTGTCACAAAGGTTAGCAGTCGTGGGCTTATTTGTACCCACACACTTGGGAACACAAGCCCCTCAGCAACAAGGAAGGAAGAAAAAGCTTGGCACGGACAGTGCTTTGGTGTTTCCTACCTGTATGTGCCCCCCTGCCATGGGCAGGGACACCTTCCACTAGACCAGGTTGTTCCGAGCCTCATCCAGCCTGGCCTTGGACACTTCCAGGGATGGGGCATCCACAGCTTCTCTGGGCAACCTGTCCCAGTGCCTCCCCATCCTCTCCAGGAAGAACTTCTTCCTGATATCCAATCTAACCCTCCCCACTTTCGATTTAACCCCGTTACCCCTTGTCCTGTCACTACAGGCCCTCGTAAAAAGTCCCCCCCAGCTTCCTTGTAGCCCCTTCAGGCACTGGAAGGTGCTATAAGGTCTCCCCGGAGCCTTCCCTTCTCCAGGTTGAACAAGCCCAACTCTCTCAGCCTGTCCCCATGGCAGAGGGGCTCCCGCCCTCGGAGCATCCCCATGGCCCCACTGAAGTTTGCTCTTTCAGTGCTGTACACACTATCCGGCATCCAAGCTGTGCACACAAATAGCTATTTGTGAGTTTCACCACGCTGCTTTCAAAACAAACGGCCTGGCTGAACGCTGCGCTGCACAAGGGTTCTTCTGCAGCAGCTTTCCTTTGGCGTGCTCTCACGCGTCTGCCCCTGCCCACTTTTAAACGGCAGGTCACAACACACATTGCTTACACTCATGATGCAGGACCACGTAAAGCTTCATTAATCACGCCAATTTACATATCCCTGTAAGCATCATCCTGCCCCAGGTCAGAAACAATGCATTTTGTGTTTGCTCATTCGTACTAAACCAACATATTTTTATGCAGGCAAGAGCAAAAGCTAGATGTTACTCATTTAGTATGAGACTAAATTCTCCCCCTCTGCTCTGCTCTGGTGAGACCCCACCTGGAGTGCTGCGTCCAGCTGTGGAGCCCTCAGCATCAGAAGGATATAGACCGGTT